TGACTTGTTTGAATATTCCCAAGTCAAAACAGCTTTTTCTCCCGAGCAGCGACTCGGCTTGGCCTTTAATTACGTACACAAAGCTATGAATAGTCATACCTGCTTTCAAACTGGCTTTAAATCGACCAAGGCAGGTTAGCGGTACCTTCTGACCATGTGCCACAAACTGTTTGGTTGTGCTTTCGAGTGGGTGTTCTTTGAATTGCTCTGTATACAACTGGGAAGAAATAATGTTCTGCCTACAACCGGTGTGGGCGACCATCTTTATCTTGCGACCATTGACTGTAATCTGGACAGGACTGTCTTGCCCTTCCATGAACAGAATCTGTTTGTCTTCGGATTCGCTTTCAATACACGATTCATTACTATCTGAATCTTTGCATCGAATTGCACGGATGTTTCTATGCACTTTCGTCTTTCTTTTATGGCGCTTTCGCTACTTCTTGCTATTCTGAGGGTCTTAGCCAGGTCTAGTTCTTCCTGAGCTAAGAGTCTTTCTCTTAGTTGTTTTGAATAGCATTTTTCTACGATATGATCCCTTAGCATTTCGTCTTCGAGCGCCCCGAATTCACATGTTTTTACCAATTCCCTTAACGACGTTAGATACGCATCGATTGTCTCATCAGCATTTTGTTTTCGACTGCGAAACTTGTGTCTTTCAGCAATGACGTTTCTTCTCGGCGTGAAATAGCCTTCAAGAGCTTCAACTGCCTCTTTAAAACTTTCTTTCTTGCCGGACAATGTTCTAAAGATTCTTTGCACCACCGGCCCTAGGCAATGCAGCATTGTCGCTGTTTGGACACCATCCGACTTTTTTTTCAAGCTCGACCGCTACAGCATAGATATTAAAAGACTCTATCCAAGCTTTCCATTCTATGTATGCATCTGTGGCTTCGATATTGAACTTCGTAGGAGGAGGCAACATGCTTTCAGCCATCCTCGTCGCCAATGTAGTGATGTTGTAATACTTTATTCACATGTGCCTCCACTTTATATACTAACTGATTTACATAAATTATACATAATGAATTCCTAATACACTACACACACAATATGCATTGGAACAATTTGGTATTGTCTGCGAAGGTTGCAATTGTAGACAAGGATATCGCATTGGAAAATACAAGCATGCAGCAACCTCTCGCCTTTCTTAACAGATGAAGTATATAAACTCCACATAAAGTATTAAGACCATTATAAACAAACATAAAAATACCACTGATGTGCTAGCTTTATAATGAACGATAACATTCACTGCAATTTCATGCATAATTGCATTAAAGTGAATTATCGACTTAAGAATGGCTTAAAAATTTCGCAGATATGAATAAAACCGACAACACAAAGCAAGTACAGCATGGAATTTTACTACTGAAATGTTTACACTTACCCAAACCGGCACAACAACAATTAAATTATCAAAGATATCAACATCAAAACAATTATTATACGAACTTTGTTTCACGGTTGAACAGCCACTAATTCATGAAACTACAGGCTTATTTCCAGTTAAAATCGAGAAAAAAAAAGTGTTGTACTATTGTAAACTTTTTAATGAAATTTAAACCAAAAAATTGCTGTAAAACAGCAAAATACGTCCTTACAAAATGAATAACAATTACTTTGTACTTGCGCATGCACATAACGTCGAAAACCGTCCATGACATAAACAAAATGGAGGACAACTTTGCACTCCGCTATGTTTTCACATACTCGGGTATAATTAGCTGTGCGGAAGTAGCACCCTTGCATGGCGCTTCGCACCGCCGGCTCAGGATAATTAGTTTTTTCAATGAGAATTTTTATTTGTATAGCAGTGACACTTTGTTTTTCATGACAACCATTACCTAAAGGGGAAACATCTCCATAAATTTATATAAAAAAATGAATTAATGTAAATTAGAAAATTATCAAAAATTATAATGTCCTTTGCTTTTTTTGGGCAAGATGTTTACAACATAAAATTTAGAACAGTAACTAAGTGTTGAGTGTAGTAAAGAGGTGTCAAGTGTCATGGCATTACCAACACACGCTTCCAAACACTCTATAAAAAGTTTGAATGAATCTTCAAATAAAACGCCCATGAAAAACAAAGGATCTAAAATACGAAAGATGAGTGCGAAGTAACTGCTGAGACGTAAAGGAATAAACTGCAAAGTGATATACATATGTATTGGTGTCGAAAATAAATCAAACAAGTATTTAATGTACTGTGTTTTTTGTGAGAATTCATTGCTGTAAGCATGGCTCATGTGTTGCTGAATTCGTTGAAGATTGCAAAGTCAAATTGTTTGAACTATTGAGCACGCTCATTCAATATGCATTTATACTTGGAGAGCCTAGATCTGTTTGAGCATGCAGCAGGTATGGCTGAAACTCCTGAACTATCTCTATGGTTATTTGGGAATGGACAATGTAAATAAATTGATGAAAGGCGAGATGGTTGAAGGAATTGAAGGAATGGACTCTGTGATAGACAATGAAAGTGAAGGATGTAGTATGGGTAAACATCATCAAGCAAAGTATCCATGTGGAGTGGTGAAGCGTGCAACTGAACCTTTAGAGTTGGTTCATAGTGATGTGTGTGGACGTCAGTTAATTCCATTGGCGGCTCTAGATAATTTGTCACATTTTTTTGATGATTACACAAGAAAACGTATGTTTACTTTATCAAGCATAAAGATGAAGTGTTGGCGAAATTTAAAGAATTTGTTAACTTGGTAACAAACCTCACTGGTGAGAGTGTTAAAACGTGTTATGTACAGACACATTCCCTAAACAAATGTAGGTTGTTATTTCTTTAAGGGATGTAGTTGGACGATTTCTCAGATATACTGCGATACACTCTGATATACAGTGTTGATGTCTTCAGCCCAGAATTCAACTGGCGTCTTCCCATGTGACATAGTCCTTGCCGATTCTACTAATGTGCGATTCATCCATTCCAACACACCGTTCTGTGCTGGATTGTGGGGAACAGCCAACTGATGTACAATACCTTTTCTCTTTAAGGAACCATTTAGCTACCAATGAGTTGTGGTTTCAGCCCCTACAGCTTTTAATGAGCCCTTTGTAATATTTGTGAGCAGTCATACAATAAAATCATGCTCGGAAGAGACTTTAATAAATGTTCTTTCAAAACCCCAAATTTGAGCAAATTTGATTAAAAATTGGGTTACTTTTGGTGTTTTTTTCCCCACTGAATTTAGCAGAATAAATTGCAACATTGCATCTGGTAGTACCAAGTACACATTAGATCACATTATCTCACTTTTGGAGAACGAAAACGATCCAGATATCACTGAAATAAGTGGTGGTGGTAGTAGTGACAGTGATGGAAGTATTCTGCCAAAAAAATGTTCTGCTGAAATTATTGGGCAAAGCGAAGAACCCTGCTTCAGAGAGTCACCCAACGAACATTTCAATAATATGGTTAGTTATTATATCAATAATTATTTGAAATAATTTACTTACATACATGACATGATCTATGATTTCTGAATAAATATATGCAACTCTCCAATTGTTTGTCTCTATTTGTAGTCAACCAATAATGATTTCAATGTTTACGAAGGCAATGGGTGGTAGTGTGACAGTCGATTATAATATACCAAGTGAATCACATGAGGTTCTCAAAGAGGAAAATACAGAAGTTAGGGAAAATAATAGCACAACCTCGTACCCAGGTAAATGCTGGAGTAGCCCTATAACTATATATTCATTTATGATATTGAAAATTGATATATAATTATCTATAAAGTGAGAATAATTTTTAAAAAATATTCATAACATAAAATGATTCATGCATGCAGGTGATTAAATAAACCATGGAGTGTGCATTCTGAATCTCTACAAATTCCTTGACATTATTTTTCCAGTACAGTGTAAAATTATATAAATGTGACACAGGTTGCAGGTATTAGGTTGCATGTCCACCAGTGTGCTGAAATACCATCCAGTGACTTGCATCTTGCTTAATTCAACTGTTTTTGCCCCATTTCTTGTAACCCATAAAGTTCTTTTCAATAATCCAGAAAACTTCAAAATCATTCAGTAAATTTAATTTAAAAATTTGGTGAAAGGGGTCAATAGATGAAGAAATCATTTCTTCTTGTTCATACATACTGTATGGCCCCCATCTCATCAGCCTTCAGAAAATAATTATGGCAACAAGGTTACACATCACACTGCAGAGTTAGGCAATTTTTTTAAAGATTTCATGGGCACAAAAGGTATAAATGTAGGGGCAAGGGAACAAAATGATGAAATTTTGAGATTCGGGGGCAGGTTTTACGATGGAGTGCTAAACATTTTCCCTAAAAAATCCCTGACCAGTTGTAGTTGTCATGGATATTAAAAATACTCATTAACATTAAAGCAGCAGTGTCACCGACTGCGCATCCTGTTCTGCACATAACATTGCATATTCGGAATACATCGGAAACATTCGGCTTCATATCATACAAAGTTATGGAAGCGTCAACAAATGCAGTAAGTATGATTAAAAATGTGCATATATTTACATTATACTTTCCAAAAGCTTCACTTTGCCAAAGTTATTTCCTGACAGTAACACTGCTGCAGCAATTTGGATGTTGTTCACATACATCAGATTGACCTCATGAGAGGAACAGAACCTAAATATGTGTCCAGACTGACATGAACGGTTTACAATTAAGGTCGTACCAACAAGATGATGTGTCGTATGTGGAATGTTAGTGCAACCTGGAGTCTGACAACGTTTTGCAAATACATCCAATAGCAAATCCATGGAGCAAATGAAGCGTTGCTCAGTGACCATATTGAACTCTCTATCAAGGGTATATTTCTCATCCCCCTCGACTGAATTTAGGGTGTGGGCCAAACTCAATACTTCTGCTTTTGTTTTCAGCATGATCTTCTGGAACAGAATCATCAGTTTGCTCAAATTGCTCATCATAGTCAAAAAGATTGAAAGCATCATAATAGGCCACATCATGGTCTCTGTCAAGAAAAATTACCATATTCTTTAAACTCTTTTCATGCCACCCAATTTTAATGCATTGATATCTAAAAATGTTGCAATGTCCTGATATACACAGGGTAATTAAATTTTAAAAATAAAGTTTTGAACACAAAACAGTGAATGACTTGTTTCCCAACAGGATATTACAAAATTTCAAATATTAATTAAGATAATGCCAAAAAATCTCCAATAGGTCCTTATATCTTTCATGTTGTGTCAGCTCTACTAAAAGTAATGGGGCTTCAATGGCAAAGTGGTTTAATAGCGCACTTGCCTTTCACCACTAAGGTTGCAGGTTCAAATCTCAGTGAGAACTTTCTCAATGCGACTCAAAGCCAGTCCTCATGTGAAAAAGAGTAAAAGCCAATGCTCTGCTGAAAGTTGTGGGTTTCTTCATGGTACTCCGGTTTCCTCCCACAGGGAAAGTTGACAGGGTGGGTTAAGTAAAAGGGCCTATAGTAATTGGCATATGCTGTTGTGGTGACCCTGCCCTAGTTGGCAAAGCTAAACAAATAAAAATAAAAGAATAAAAAAGCTTTGAATACTATTGCATGTATTCATCAACCACGGATGGCACAAAAGACAGCAAATTCGGCCACGTGCAAATAACTTTCTGTCGTTAGTTTGGAATATCAGGAAACTTCCTCACAGGATAGAACTTGCCATTCCTAAAAATCCTATCGTTTTTGTTTTTCGATTTTGATACATTTTGGCGGGAAAATGACGTGCAAACTTTGGCGCCAAAAAAATAAACACAAACTAAGAACATGCTAGGAAATTTTTGAAGAGATTGTCTCATAAGGATCTCAGAACTGTAAAAACATTGAAAATACGCCAAAGCAGTGCAAAGATATGGCGCTTAAAATTCTGAAAATCCGCCATTTTGTTACTATTTATTTCGAAATTTGAATCGCCATATCTTCGCACTGCCTTGTTGTATTTTTAATGTTTTTACAGTTTTGAGATCCTTATAGGACAATTTCTTCAAAACAGTTACTAGAATGTTCTTAGCTCGTGTTTAATTTTTTGGCGCCAAAGTTGGCACGTCATTTTCCAGCCAAAATATAACAAAATCGAAAAACAAAATCGATACGATTTTTAGGAATGGCAAGTTCTATCCAGTGAGGAAGTTTTGTGATATTCCAAACTAACGACAGAAAGTTATTTGTACGTGGCCGAATTTGCTGTCTTTTGTGCCCACCGTGAACAAAAAGCTTTGAATACTATCGCCTGTATTCTAAAACTCCGCTCATACTCAAAGAGTGGAGGTTAAATATAAACTTCCCTTGAAACTCCAAACTGAATTGAAAAATCAATTGAAACTTACCTTCGACGAAATTCCAAAGACAACAAGTGCGCAGCAAAATTGCTGTCACTTGATTTCTCATAGCCAGCCACAATTTTAGCCTGTTTGCACGAATTAAATAAATTAAGATTCAAATATATCCTTTTATGATCACTTTCCCATGATTTCCTGTAATCTTTTTGACTCAAAAACACCTTTTTCCGACCAGCATTTCGCCTTAAGCCTCCGTGCATGGCGACGTGATTAGACGCCATATTGAATTTCAAAACTTGAAAAAGTTCACCCAACTTTTTCAAGTTAACACATGCGCAGAAAGGATGCGCAGCAGGTGACACTGCTGCTTTAAATAATGGTGAATAAATGCTGAAACTGATGTTTGTCTATTGAAATATCCTAGCAGGTTAGGTTGATCAGATTTTAGCTTTGTCAACCTGGTCACTCTGTTATTACAGTAATGGCTCATTTAAATAATTTCAGGTCAAAACAATGTTAAACATGTTAAAAAGAAAGATTACAACAAAAAATAAAAGAATATAAATGATCCGCGGCAATTCAGGTTCTATTCGTGAACTTTCCGTCGCCCGCCCTCTCTTTATTTCCATAAAGCCCGCTCGCAGGCTAAAGGTCCGGTCACACTACACAACGATAACGATAACGATAAACGATAACGATATGCGATCACACTGCAATGATAAATCGTTAAGAAACAAAAGCCGCCAAAATGGTTCAAATAGCACGCCAAAATGGCTGATCTTGAAGAAGAAGAACTTCTCGTATTATTGCTGCTGCTAAGACATAAAAGAAAGAAAAAGCAGGTGCGACGTTGTTGGGTGCATGAGATTAATAATTCTAGGCTTCAGATGGGAGAGTTCCACACGCTTGTGAGAGAACTGTCATCATACAAAGACAAATTTTATGAGTATTTTAGAATGTCACAGCGACAATTCCATGATATTTTAAGTCTTTTGGAGAACAATATCGCAAAAAAGTTCACAAGCTTCAGAAGGCCTATTAGCGCACAAGAAAGACTTGCCGTTTGTCTGAGGTAACTACTTCAGGGCCATTTGAATGCGGGGTCGGGGAGGGCTGAGGAGGGACTGCGACCCCAATTATTTCCTTATCCAGGATTCAAATTCATAGCAAACTAGATTATCCGATAAATCATCTTTAATAGTTTCGCAAAACTTTTTGAAGGACGAAATTTTTGGCTATGTTTTCCTTGTCCCCCTCCCCTCCTGCTAACACAAAAGTTGAAAATAACTATGACGGAAAACTTTGGCTAAGCCCCGAAATTGGAATTGGGACTCCCCCCCCCCCCAATATTAATTTGATTCTAACGGTACTTTACTTATCATTCCTATGCATGAATATATATATTAGGGACTGGTCATAATTTAGCAGGAGGGGTGGGGAGGTGGAAACAGTGGGGGGTCGCATATTTTTTAGCCAGGAAAAAGGGGGGTTCATAAAATATTAGACAGTTTATGAAGGTGGGGAGGGGGTCTGTTTTAGTTCAATTAATTGTTTTATACATATGGCGTGTGATATGCCTTCTCACATTTTGTTTGAGTTGCATATATGCATTGAAAATAATTGAAAACATTTGAAAACATTTGAAAAAACTAAAGTTTTATATATGACTATGTATCGGTATAATATAAATTTTAGTATTTGATTTAACAAGGGCGGCGGAACATATTTTACTTTGGGGGCATTTAAAGCGCAACTAGAAAATTAGAAAATTTAAAGTGCAATTAGAAAATTTATTGAATGCAGGGTTTAGTAGTAGGTAGGTAGATTTGTACTGACACGAGCAAGAGAGGGGGGGGGGGGAAATTATTTTTCTGGGTTATGGCAAATCAGGGTCACAAAATATCATTCCTTAAAATTTTGAATTACACCTCCGCCCCTGATAAATTATGACCAGTCCCTTATTGCATATGCATTGTCCATATAAAAATTCATCTATAGCTCTACATGTATACCATTAGTATACAACACATTTGTTTCATGTTTATTTGCCATACATCGAATAGCCTACAATCAATATACCTAAACAATAAGAATAATGTTCATTCAGAAGCAAGTGAACAATAACTACTGCACACTTTTTATGATAGG